TTTCAGTGACAGTGCACATCCATGACTCATGCTACCCACAGGGTTCGAACCCGGGTCTTGCGCAGGAACGCTTAAGTTATGGATCACTTAGGCAGCACCCAGTGATGTTATTGTCTACCTCCGATTAATCTAAAGATTTTGCGCAACCTCACCCCTTGTTGTTACTGCCTACACTCAACAACGGTGAACTCCACTGGTCACGTCTTCTCACTAGAACTCCGAGAATTTCCTCGCGAAGCTAGTTATTAGTGGTAGTGGTCCAACGATGACTGATTCACGATTTCATAGTAAAAAAGCGATCTCCATAATTCCATGATGAAAAAAAGATATCTTAATAAACAATTATTAAAGATTATTTTGAAAATATATTTGAGAGAAAAATTATTTGATTTGGTTGAATGGCTTAAAAATTAATTACTAATTTATTTCCAGCTATTTAGCATATTACACAAATCCAATATGACTACAAGGTTAATTAATTGCTACTTGTTTTAGATGAAGATTAAGTTACAACGTAGAACTTCGTACGTACGTACGTACATCAGTTCAAGTTGCCATACCACTTAAGCACCGAAATGTTATTGTCAATTCAAATCGCATAGTAGCAGAGGTAGTTAAAGTATTAGAAGTAATCGGAGATTGTAGGGTTCAAAGATATGATTCGAGAGGTATAATTCAGTGAGGTTAATTTGAAAAAAGAAAGACAGAGGTGATAAGGAATTCATAAAATGATGATTTCATAGAACACAAAGAATGGATGCACCTGCGCCATTGCAAACGATTTTGAGCCATGTCATTCAGGGTCTCTAACCATCGATTATTATCATCTCGCGGGCCCCAAGCAGTTAGTCGACACCTACCAACATTACTCAGTCTACTTGTCAGTAACTTCATGGATTTCTTTCATGTTTCAGTTTGACCACCCCTAGCTTTCGTCCAATCTATTCCTATATCGCAAAACATAGCTCGACGAGGCTATGTAGATGAAGATGTTTTCAGTTTAACCATTGTCTTTATTTAAATTAATATTATAGTTGTGACAGTAAAGGAAAACAAATTAACCAATATTAGGAAAACAATAACTTTCTCATTACATTGTGTACAATTTTAGTAGCTAATACAGAATACTGCTGAATAAGTTTGTAAATTTGTTGTCATCTTTTTTTTCCGATAATTTACAAAGATAATTGATCGTGACGGCCATGTTCTTACAATTGAATCCAAGGCTGATTCTTATACATACGGCCGTTAGAAAAGCATTATTACACTTTTAGCAGAGTCATTCTATTTCAACTAGAATATTATTTCATTGAAATCTGTTAGATTTGTCACTAGGTATGCTTGAAGATACTACAGGTTCCCCTAGTCGATAAACGCGAACGAGACAATAAACTGTGGTCGGGTACGCTAGCCTGATCTGCTAACTATTGAAAAGTCTTGATATAGTGTGGAAAGTATATTCTACAAATACCCAGGAGGCACAATGCAATCAAGCACACAAATCGCGTTTATTTATATATCATAGAAAAAAAAAATAGCACACTAAAATACACAGCAGCCAATCACAGCCAAGGATTTTCCACTTGGGAAATAAAATCTCAAGGTCAGCTGATCAGCCCATACTCGGAAACATAAATTTCAAAATCAAGGCATTCATCAAGAGAGTTCTGGGGATCTAACATCCCCAACACATAAGAACAAATTTATATCACAATTTTGTTCAGTTTACAGATATAAAAACTTTGAGAAGACTTCAATAGATTCACTAAATAAGCAAAATTTGTTTACAGTTTGTAGCATCATAGTTATGTTTCTAAAAGCTGTTTACTTACAAAAGATGTATCCTGATTCGCTGAGAACTGGCTAAAAATTCTTTCTGGCTGTTTTATGATCATTTCCATACTGTACTGTTACAACATTCTTTGAAAAATAAGCCGAAATGAAACATATCTTTAATTTAAAATTTAAGAAGAACAAACTGTTTTTACAGTAAGTCACTTTCAGGGTATTTCATTAAAGACGATATTTCGTTGTTTTTAGTAGATTTTTGCTTCAATTTTAGTGAGAGTTTCAAAATTCGAATCAAAAACACGATCACATATATCGATTAGTTTTTTGATTGTATGATACTAGGCTTATGAGATAGGCTATGCAACATAAAAACTGCATTACATGCAGTTTCTTCAGCATTAAATAACACTTTAAGTTATCCTCTTTCACTTGAAATCGAAACCTGCACTAACGATTTTAAGCTTGGAAAATTACATCGAGATAATAGATGAGAAAAAATGTAATATTATCGATGGAATTCAACCAACGTTAAAGAAGGACTTGACTATGGTAACCATTCAGTGATCAGTCACCTGTGAACATATCATGTTGACTGATGAGTGTCAACTTAAGATACGAATTAAGTTCAAAAAGTGTTTTTAGATCCCTATTATCAGTTTGACTGCTATGGGGACTAGAAATTTATTTTGAATAAATCACTTTAGAAAAAAAACAGAAAAAAACTTAATTTTTAAAAATCTTTCATCAGAAAAGAATTTATATAATAAATAGACATCATGAATAGTATGAGTTGTATCGATCATTAACTTTAGGGAAGATAACAATAATCATACTTTTAATAAAGTGCTTTCACTTAGTAGATGATTAAAACTGCGTATTTTTTTAAATCTGGAAAAGCACTTACTCACTATCAACATGTAATATTTTCGTCAGAAATAAAATTTCAAAGTGTCAGGCGGTTATTTAAACTGGAAGTTTGACAATCACCTCAAACCTACATTTCTGGAAATAATAATCATGTGTTAACTGCTGACTAACATGAAGATAAATCCCTGAACTTTTGTTAGAAACCATAAACATTAGAGTTCAGTCATACCCAGTATAAGAAGATAGCAGTGGGTTATGACTGTGTAGCAGTGTAAAAATTTTGTATTTACTTATATGAACATATTGCATGGCAGCTGTGAAGTTTACGGTTGTTTTGACTCAGGTTATTCACCTGTCTATTTAAACAACGTAAAACTAGACAAATCATTCTAATCATTTGGGTTATTTTCTTCGCCTTCATGCATTTGTCCTTGATAATGTCTTTAATCTTTAATTGTATTCACTTTTGTTTAATTAACTGTTGGTCTTTCTAGAACGTTTTTTTTCGATATCTGTGTTTACCTGGTTGTGTATCAGTATTCTTTATCCAATGTCTATTTTTCATATATAATCTGAATTACACTTAAAATGAATAACCTAGATCAAGCCATTTCTATTTACGTGTATGTTCATATAATCACACTTAAAAGCTTGAACTGTAATCCTCTAGGTTAACTGTTATTTGAATTTAACTATCAGTGTTTTTTAAATGATATTTAGCTGAAGTATCATATACGAAACTAAACGTAAGGTTGACATTTTGGGGTAAACTGTTTATCCCAATACGATTTGAACACGATATCGTGTGAATCAAATTATGCAAAGTAACATACTGATTGTTGGATCTGAAGATCCACAGCCGCCTGGTTTTCAAAGGTCTGCTCACAACAGTCATTTTGTGATGCTTCTTAATAGAGGATCTTTACAAAACAAAATGTTACTAATAAATAATGACAGAATGAAAGGAAAATAAACTACTATTACATCATCACATAAAATCTGACACAATTATGAAGATATTGCTAAAATGATAACATAAATTAGCTTTCTTGTTAAAATATTTGGGTATATTATAAGCCTTATATGACAGAACCAGGTATTAAAATAGTATGAGAACATCAATGTCAAAAGACTGTTTAATTTTAATGGAAATCATCTTTATAAAAGAGTGATACTCCACTAGTAAAGTTAGTCTATTATTATGTAAAATAATTTGTTCATTTAGACATTCTTATATGTAAGCAAAGTTTTAAACGAAACTGTTTAATGTGAAAATATCTAATTATTCATATCAGACCTGATAAATGTGCATTTCTGATGCTATAGATTGAAACATGTAAAGTAAACTTTATATAGATTTCTAAATAGTTAAAATTCGCGTAAATAAGACCATAAGAATTACTTCCGAAATTACAAGCATTTAGTAAGAAAGGAAGTAACCTAATACCAGACTGGAATCAAACAATGAACCATTAAGTAGCCAAAAAGAAGTAGACAGTTGTTTATTAACTGGAGGCTTCTAAATACACCCAACTTCTACAGATACAGAAGGTGGCATGATAACTCAAAACAACTGAAATCAAAATTCACTTATCCAAATCTATGACTTTCTTCGAGACAAAAGAAAACTTCAAATTACGCCTTTTTAAATAATGATCTGAATCTTTTAAATATCATTATTTATAATTAGTATTCATAATAAAAATTTGAAATTATCTAAATATATTTTGAAAGGAAGAATTTGATTCTGATAAAATGAATATGAAGACTTAGACAACGTACTATCTGGTACTTATGTGTACAGATCCAAGTTGCCACAGCTGCCATCAGTTCAAGGCAGTTTTGATCAAATAAAAAGAGGATGGATACCTTTAATTGTGAAAAGCTGGAAGTTTTTAAGAACCGGAGGGCAATGAATGAAATAGAAAGGTAAGAAACATGCCAAGTTAGTGCCGACTTTTGTGATTTACAGGAAGACAAAGAAGTAAACTAATACGCCGTTTTGCCATTGACTTCCGGTTACGTAATATTGATTTTCACATGTTTAAATCGTTATTTAGCATTTTAATGATCTGACGCTACATGCTTCCCTAACAATTCTTTATAATTTTCCTGTTTCACTCTACATCTGTCAATGTAACACAGTGACCTTTAATTTATTATTGTTAACTTGTGTTGTTCTCTATTCAATGATTGTAAACTAACATCACTAGTCAATTTACTTTTCCCATTTACGAACAAAACATATATCTAATGAATAAAATGCATTTGAATGATTTTAAAATCACTCATAAAAAGTATTAGAATGTTTCTTAAAATTAATAATGTCATTTTCGACTCACCGTATCTTCAGTGGTATCATAGTCAAATGTTGTAAGAACACTCACTGATCTTGTAAAATTAATGAATGTATTTAAATCATCCTTTTTTATAGTTTCGATTATTTGCCTTAAGTTTCCTCTTGTTGACAAATCCTGACTCATTATCCACGGAAAAGAAAGAATGGCAAATGTGCTGTTGTGATAGGATAAATTGATGGTGTTTTTTAACCAGATTTTTTTAGATAAAAATAATATTTACGTATTTGTCCAAGTTTTGTTATAATTCAATATCAGTTTAATATAAAACACATTATTTAACGACTAATGAATTATATGTACATATAATATATATCCAGACTACTTTAAAACATAGTATGGATTCAAACTTTTAATTAAATGTACATATTTATGTACATTGATGTATGTGATAATTTCAAAATTAGGTCTGCACATATATATGTCGTGCTTAAGATTCCACAGTATCACGAGAGCTAATTTTCTGATCTGACTTTCACTCTATCATATGTAAACAGACAACCACAGATAAACATAATAGCTCATTTGTTCACTTGGACTAACACAAATTAGCTCACATGTCTTGTCATCAGCATTCACCTACCCACGCAGTATTCAAGCAGTAAATAATATATAAATCAAACTACTCTAATTAACCAATCTGACATTGTTTTTACCACTTACAATTTCACCAGATCACAGAAAAATCTTAATCTCTTTTTGTGTGCACTAAATTATTTTACAACAATAAATCCGAAATTATTTATTTATTTGTCTTTAGTTTAAAGCCTGTTTACATTACTGGAGTTAAATGCAAACAAATTGTAATCATAAAAGTAATAGTGAATATCATGACGAGGTAAAAAGTTGTTGTTTTTCAGTTCACAAATAAATTTGATTGACTAGTTTTTTGAATGGCTGAAACAACGTGACCATCGAAAATGGGGTCCCTGATTAGCCAATGTATCAATGTTACTTCTAACACTCACACTGTAATCGCATCTTAGCAAACGGTCACCTATTAGTTCTGTCAGTAACTCATATGCTCAGTTTTGAAACCTGAATCTTATTAGGCTACTATTTTCTCCCAAGTTTTATATCCTCGACTAGACCAATCACTCGCCCCAAACGACAATAATAATCTTGATGGATCCATGAGTCTGTAGCCTTTTCTTCTATACCCCGCCTCTTTAGTTCAGAAGTGCCTAACTGGAGTCCAATATATTCGAGCAGATATTGTTAATATACCAGCATATCGGACCACATCATAACATAAAATGGCTGTGAACAGGGGGAGACAGGGAATAATAAACTGGAAATGGATTTAGAAGTAAATTATGTGGAAGTAGTTATTAGGATGAACAAAAGCTTATTAAGAATGGAACACATTTATATATAAATCTAACCAATCAATCAGTTAGGCCTGTTATCCATCCAACTCTGTCCAGGCCCTCTTTTCCAGTTATTACTAATTACTATTCATTCTTTTAATGTCTTTCATCAGTTTTCGGCTTACTATAGTCCTTAGTCTTCCTCTTTTTCTGACCTTGGGGATTCCAAGTTAGTGTTTATTAGTGATTACACAATAAGAATATACATCATATTGTTACGTAAACCAGTCCTAGAAATTACCGTTTCTGCAGTCATGTTTCTGATATAGCACAGCTGATAATGATTACTGATTCTTACACAAACATTTCAGTTTCTTTGTAGAATTGAACTAATCAAAATTAGTGACAGGAAAACCAAGGCACGCAGTTTGAGTAATAAAATTAGTAGAGTATTTAAGTGTAGTAATAATATACCAAGCAATCAAATTTTCTGTTCATTTTATGTTGTTCAGCAATTTGGATGGTAGTATTTGAGTCTTATGAAGCTAAATTCTTAGAAAGTATACATCTTTAGGACTGTTTGTCTTATTTTTCAAACTCAGCGCTTAGTATCAATCATATATATATTGAAATAATAGGATATAGCTTTCCAGGCTATTTGACGGTGGCCCTAGACGATTTGTTTGGGGAAGCAGCCGTAAACATCCTGGACCACTGACGCCGACCCTATGTGGTTGTCCCAAACACTCTGCATCTCGGTTTATTGTGTCAACTGGCGTCGAGACCCCTTAAACAAGGGTCTCCAGTTGGGTTAAGCGATCCAGTGCTGAAAGGGTATAGGACGCCAATGATGCCTGCCCACTTATGTAGTGGGATTAACCCTGCTAGGCTGAGTCCTTGCACTTAGTAGAGTGCATGAAATCTTGGTTAGAATGCCTGCTGGTTAGTGCACTTCTGGGTGGCTCGGTAATCCATCCGGGGTGCTAAGTCTAGCTGAGGAAGCCCGCCTTACCGCCCTTGCCGATTGGGGATTGTGGGTAGTGGATTGATTGGAGGGATCGAGTTGATTCATAAGTTCCTGAAAGGGGGCCACTGCTCGTGCGCGTGCTTTTTGGGCGTTGGTTAACCAAGAATATATATATATGTAGATTGGTCTGCAGACACGTCGATGTGCCGAAAGCATGCGCACGAGCAGTGGCTCCCTTTCAGTCACTTATGAATCAACTCGACCCCTCCAACCAATCCACTACCCACAATTCCCGATTGGCAAGAGCCGCAAGGCAGGCTATCCAAGCAAGACCTGGCACCCCGAACGGATTACCGAGCCACCCAGCAGTGCACTAACCAGCAACTGTTTCAACCGTCTGGCCTCGACCAAGAATATATGTATATACTGTATTACTTACCCACGCCTGTCACCCCCAATGGAGCATAGGCCGCCGACCAATGCCCTCCAACCTACTCTGCCAATTTTTGTTCTTTCTTCTCAAACCTTTCGCTGTTTCTCGTCGTACTGCGTTTCTTGACATTTCTCTTTTCCTTTTATCTTGAGGATTCTGTGTGAAGGTCTGTCTTGTGACTCAGTTGGATGTTTCCTGCAGTGTGTCCAATCCGCTTCCAGCGCTTCTTTCTGATCTCCTCCTCTGCTAGAATCTGTTTTGTTCTTTTCCACAGTAGATTATTGCTGGTGATATCTGGCCAACGGATCAGAAGTATTTTGCGTAGACATGTGTTAATTAATACTTGTATCTTCCGAGTGACTGATTTCGTAGTTCTCCAAGTTTCCTCACCATACAGTAGAACTGTCTTGACATTTGTATTGAATATCCTGATTTTGGTTTTGGTTGAAAGTTGTTTGGAGTTCCAGATATTTTTCAACTGTAGAAATGCAGCACTTGCTTTGCAGATCCGCACCCATCTGTATCGGATCCACCTTGGTTGTCTATGATGCTGCCAAGATATGTGCAGGTTTTAACGTCCTTCCATCAGGAGTAATTTGGTTGGCGCATGTTGTGTTGTATCAGAGAATCTTACTTTTCCTCTTATGTATGTTGAGACCTGCTGCTGTGGAGGCTGTTGCGACACTGATCGTCTTCTCTCGCGTTTGTTGTTGCGTGTGTGATATACGAGCAAGATCATCTACAAAGTCCAGATCGTCCAGCTGCATACTAGCTGTCTACTTTCCAGATGTTGACGTCTTCATAATCTAGTCGATCACCAGAAGAAAGAGAAAGGGTGAGAGTAATCAACCTTGCCTGACACCGGTCTTCACCTCGAAACAGTCTGTTAGCTGTCCTCCGTGTACGATTTGGCAGTTTAATCCTTGATCAGAACTCCTTATGATCTTAACTATTTTTTCAAGCACGCCATATTGTCGAAGAAGCCTTCATAGTGTTGTCTTGTTCACGCTATCAAATGGTTTCTCGTAGTCAATGAAGTTGATGTACAGTGGTGAATTCCACTAAATTATATACTGTATTAACGACCAGTCAAAATAGATTTTAATACTCGATTTGAGATTCAGTACCAAATTATCACCTTTAATGATTGTATGAATGGGAATAAACAGAAAACTGAGCATGCAAATATTTATCATGATTATAATATGCTAAATTCTACGTTACTAAATTTTCTACGTCATCAGCTAGAAATGTAGTATAGAAAAATAGATAACTAGATATATTTATTATTGCCTCAGTGTAATATTATTTTATTGTTGCATACTAGTTTACGTATCAATCTAAATTAGGTAATTGATTCTGACTAAATGTGTTGAGATTTTGAAATGGTGGAGAAAATTTTTTTTAGATTATTTGTATCGATTTCCAATCAATAATTTTTTGTCTATTAGTTTAAAGACACTAATAAAAATTAAGTAAATCGATAAATCTAATTTAAAATGAATTGCAGCATAATTTCGTGTTACTTTGTCTACATCAGTCTCTTTTATAACTAGACTGGGCAAATTTAATTTTACTATGAGGAATTGACGACTTGACAGTTATCAATCCACGTGAACAATTCTTGTAATGATTTTGATGACGTGACAAACACTAAAGCAAATCTCAGTACTGATAGTTCTGTATTTGTTTTTGGACTTTGATATGGTCATTACAGAGAAGGCTATACAAAATATTTTCTAAACAAATAACTAAACTGTCGGTGATGAAACAAATTCTTCAAGTAAATAATGAAAAGAACACAAGACGCTAGAGATACGACATAAACATTAGTACAACCAACAATTGTTCAACAGAGTTTCTGGATTTTCAGTAAGTGCTTCCTTTTAGCGTCACATGAAATCGAGCCTGAAAAATTTCGGATCACATAATGAAAACAACGACTAGTGACTTAATAGTCTATAATTTCAATTTTATTTACTTGGTGAGTAAGATTTCAGATTACATCAAATAATACAACTATATATGATATTATTTAACTAAAGTAGTATGTCATGATGAGGTTTAATTAGTGAGTATACTTTAACACTTATGAAAATTAACTATTCGGTATAACTAGTAGGCGGGAAACTAAATAAATTTTCATATTTCAATCTTCGATGAAAAACTGTAGGCAACACTTTTTGAATGATATAAATGACTGACACAATTAAATCAATAAATCTTGAAATCTTATACCTGCCTATTCATTCCTGAGAATTACAGGTTTGATCCTTCGTACTGCATTAAACATACAAAAATTCTATTTATTTCGAACATTTATTTTTGATGTGGGTAGAAGTTTTCTACCTACAGATGACAAACTTACACCTTAGATAGAAAAACGAAAATGAATAATAAACATTTCGTAAATAGA